GTTTCGGTTCCCTTCCAAGCCCCTTTCAAGCCGGAAAGGGCACCGGTTTTGAGGTTAACCCTAAACCCTAAACCCCAAACCCCAAACCCTAAACCCTAAACCCTAAACCGGGTCTAGAAAGCCAGCTGAACTTGTTTATCGAAGCCCTAGACCCCGAAACCCTAAACCCCGAGCCCAGTACCCTGCTCGACTATTTGCATCAGAACCCAAGAAATGGAAGATAAGCATCCCAAAAGTACCCTTGCAAGGAAGATGTAAGATGTTGTGTTTGTGGCTTTTTTTTTTTGGGGGCTTAGGGCTTAGGGATTAGGGCTTAGGGCTTAGGGCTTAGGGCTTAGGGCTTAGGGCTTAGGGCTTGGGGCTTGGGGCTTAGGGCTTAGGGCTTAGGGCTTAGGGCTTAGGGCTTAGGGTTTAGGGTTTAGGGTTTAGGGTTTAGGGTTTAGGGTTTAGGGTTTGGGGTGGGGGGGGGTTCTTGAGCCAATAGCATGCTCAACTTCTAGGATCTAAGGCATGAAGCCGAAGCCCTCACAGCTTGGGGCTTAGGGTTTTGAGGGTTTGAGGGTTGAGGGTTTAGGGTTTTGGGTTTAGGGTTTAGGGCGAGGGGTCTCGGAATCGCAAGGAATTTGCTATCGTTGAGGCCGCTACATTGAGGCCGCTACAAGAGCAAATTCCCCTTCTTAAACTGTAGTCTAACAGCGACCCCGAGAAAGCGATCCAAATTCCGCGCGCACACCCTCAGATTCCTCCCCTCAAGGGGCAGTGTGTTTCAGAGCCCGTCCTGTTGCAAACCCCCAAACCCCTAAACCCCTCAACCCTAAACCCTAAACCCTAAACCCTAAACCCTAAACCACCCTAAACCACCCTAAACCACCCTAAACCCTAAACCCTAAACCCTCGAAAGCCCTCCACTCCCCCTCGCAGGTGGCAGTGAAGTCGGGCGTGGGCATCGACGAAGTGGGCTTCGACTGGATCCACTTGATCAAGAGGCCGGCGTCTGGAGCTTCTTACCCTAAACCCTAAACCCTAAACCCTAAACCCTCAACCCTAAACCCTAAACCCTAAACCCTAAATATTCTTCGGTTACTCTTGGATCTAGGCACGTTCCCTGAGCTCTGTAACACCTAGACCCTGCACGTCCATCCTTAAACTGCTTTTGAGTGTGGCCTTCGAGTGAGTGGGCCTCCTCTGCGTCGGTTTAGGGTTTAGGGTTTAGGGTTTAGGGTTGTTTTGCCATAGTCCTGGGGTTCAGGGTTTAGGGTTTAGGGTTTAGTGTTTATTTTGCCATAGTCCTCAGCCCGCAACTTTCGGTTCCCAGACCCTTGGGTTTCACTGGAAGGGGAACAAGCATCCTTACCTTCGCTCACGGGTTCTGAAGTGTGGGCTTAGGGTTTAGGGTTTTAGGGTTTAGGGTTTAGGGTTTAGGGTTTTAGGTTTTTATGGGGTAACATAGGGGTCGGATTAAATACTAACAGAGGGCACAGCCTGACGGGTTTGGTCATAGCGATACGGATGAAGCTCGGAAGAGCAAACCTTAGCAGGTGAGTCACTTGTGTGACAGCCCCGTAAAAATCCCAAAACCCTTCAAACCTGAACCCTAAACCCTAAACCCTCCTAAAACCTCACACCCTTCAACCCTAAATTCCCGCAAGCACCTCGGGCACATTCGGAAGGTGATCCGTCGGACTCCCACGATGGCCTCGCTGCCTGGGTCTGCATCCGCTGCTGCAAAGAGCCCAACAAAAACAACCGGGTTTAGGGTTCAGGGTTTAGGGTTTAGGTTTAGGGTTAGGGTTTAGGGTTTAGGGTTCAGGGTTTAAGGTTTAGGGTTCAGGGTTTAGGGTTTTAAGGTAGCCCAGTCCCTTTACCCCTTTTTTTTGGTTCTGGGTTCCCTTGTAAAGTAACCCACCCAAAAAAGGGTGCAGGCAGCCCCTAAACCATAAACCCGAAACCCTAAAACCCTATGGGTAATGATTACAATTATGGCGTTCACTGCCCCAGAGAATATTCTAACAGGTACAACCCTCCTTAAAGCTACATAATTATGGGAATCCACGTATGCTTGATGGACATGGGCGCGCCTGTCCAGAAACGATCATCTTGTTCAGTGCGCGACAGTGCAAGTGGTTGCTTGAACTATGGCCCTCGACCTTAAACGCCTGATCTGACACTAAAGAACTTACATTAAAGTTGAAATTTTCCAGAACATTGAAACGTAGTAAGCAAGATGGGGCCAAGTTTGTGTTCGCAACCAACTTTGAGGGTTTAGGGCTGACGGTTGCTCAGGGCTCAGAACTTCAAGCACATAACGGGCACTTTGGCTGACATGGTTGACGCGTGGAAAATTATAGGCACTCCTTGGCTACCCTACAAAAAAGGGCCCGCAATATACTAGGAGATAAAGCAGAGACTCGAATTTTTCTAACAACAGCCCCCCTCAGTGTGACTAGGGTCTGTTAGATGTATGAGATGTATGCACCAACAGCTCGATCCCCCGTTGCGTTTTCTGGTTCGGCGCTCGTGCTGCTTCGTGTAGGATGCTGAACTAAGCCCCGAACCCGAACGCCTCAGCCCTTAACCCTAAACCCGACACACTAAACCCTAACCTCTGACCACGTTTAAGTCCTACATAACCCTGAACCCTAAACCACCCTTAAACCCCGCACCCCCTACCCTGCACCCTCCAAGCCCCGAAGCCAGCAACCTTAAGCCTTAAGCCCTAAACCCTAAACCCTAAACCCTAATTCAAGCCCGAAGCCGGCAACCTTAAGTGCCTGAAGCTCCTCTGTCCAGCCCATGGGTCCACACGGATCTGTGCCCGGCCTGTCTCAGGGTCGAGGGTTTAGGGTTTAGGGTTTAGGGTTTAACGGTTTACGGTTTACGGTTTACGGTTTACGGTTTACGGTTTACGGTTTACGGTTTAGGGTTTAGGGTTTAGGGTTTAGGGTTTAGGGTTCAGGGTTTGCGGGCTTCTTGGGTTTGGGGGTTTAGGGTTGTGAGGGTTTTGGGGGGCTTCACCGCTTGGGGCTTACAGCTGTTCAGTTCAGCTCGTTGGTAGCTTAGGATTTGTATTAGCCGTGGGGCTTCATGATGGAGTTCAAGGGTTTCGGCTTCAGGGGTGCTCAGGGCTCAGGAATCTGAACGTGAAGAGGCCATGGACCCCAAACCCCAAACCCCAAACCCCAAACCCCAAACCCTAAAGCCTAGACTCAAAACCCTACCCTTTTTATTCCAGAGCCGCTGTGGGGGGTTCAGGAATCGATGCCCTGAATCTATCATCGTGCTGGCAGTACGGACTACATCTTTTCAGGTGGCCGGTTCAGGGTCTAGGGTCTACGGTTTAGGGCTAAACGCGCAGCTAACCCAGAACTATGCCTCACTTGGTGGTAATGGTCTACGAGTCTACGAGTTTTCGGGAATTCAGGGTTAGGCCTCCATCTTGACTGGGGCCTCCAAAACCTTGAACAAGTGCCCAGTACGTTCTTGTATTCACAGGGTTAGGGTCCCTGATCAACCTGTTTCAACTCCCCAAAATGGTACCCGTTTTCCTAGAATCGTCACATTATCGCATAGTTGGGGGGTTCGAGGGGCCGGGGGGAGGCCGCACTCAGCCAGAAGCCCTGAACCCCAAAGCCTAAACCCCCGAGGTCAGAGGGTGGAGCTTGCTCATCCTAGGCGCGTGGCTGCCAGTGCTGCTGTTGTTCCCTTATGCGCAAAATAGGACCACCCTAAACCCTAAAACCTAAACCGAAACCCTAAGCCCTAAACCCTATAGAGCATGGTTTGGGGGCCCGATGACCCTGAAAGTCGGCGGGCTTAGCTTAGGGTTTGGGGTTCAGACCTAAGACCCTACAACCAAACCCCAAACGCCTTCTGGTTGTTCTAGAGGTCTTTGACGAGGATGCCCGGTAGCACCCTGCTTCTCCCAAACCCCTAGGCCCTAACCCTAAACCCTAAACCCTAAACCCTAAACCCTTTTTAACCCATTGGTTGGGTAAGCCAGGCTAAGGTTGGCGGGTGTTGGCTTTCAGGGTCTTGGTTTGAGGGGTTTGAGGTTTCCGGGTTTGGAGGTTTTGGTCTTTCTTTAGGGCCTAGGGCCCAGGGTTGGGGAGGGCATAGGTTTAGCATTTAGGGCTTGGGTTTAAGGGTTTGGGGGGTTTAGTCATGCTGGCTGAAGTGTTCCGAGTTCGCGTATTGGAAGTCATACGTAAGAACGCCCTAAACCCTGCTGAGTGTCGACATAAGGCAGCATATGCTTAGAAGCCAAGTACAGATTTCTCCCAAGACCGTGAATCCACTAACCCTAAAACCTAAACCCAAGATTCTTCGTTCGCGGCCGCAGAGTGGGCTCAAATGCCAATCAGGTCCCACACACCCAGGCAGGGGCAGCTTGTGTTACCGCAACCCTGATGGAGGGTTTAGGAGTTTAGGGTTCCGGTTCTTCAAGTTTTTGAGTTGTTTAGGGTTAGGGGGTTGGGAGTTTCGGGGTTTAGGGTTTAGGGTCTAGAGTTTCCGGGTGTTTGACCACTTAGGGCTATCGCTTTGCCGGTATCATCGTTCAGTTTCGTTCTGGTGGTTCCTCCCAACATACGTTAAGGTTTAGGGCTTAGGGCTTGGGACGTTCCCCCTTGTACATCCCTTATACTAGCAGTCCTTAATGCGCATTATAGTAAGTACCCCCTATTATAACCCCAATTAAGGACTTTAAGTAGAGGGGGGGAACATCCCAACTTAAGGGCTTCAGGGTTTAGGGTGGGTTTTCCAGTGGGTTCAGTGCGTTTGTGCCTAGAACTGTTGCTGGCAGAATTCGGAGCAGGCCCTAACAGCGAGCTTGTACATCCTAGTCATCCTGTGCTGATCATGTCCCAAGTAATTTATAAGCCTTATAGAAGGAGTTTAGGGTTTAGGGTTTAGAGTTAGGGTTTAGGGGAGACCTAGTTTTGAGAAATGCGAATGTGCAGCGGAGGTAGCGCTGGAACTACCTGGGTGTTTCCATACTTTGGATGGCGCCATGTTGGCGCAGGCACGCGGCCACGCGCTTACACCCCTAATTTGACCGCTTCTGGTGCTTGATGTCTTTAGGGTTTAGGGTTTAGGGTTTAGGGTTTAGGGTTTGTGTGCTAAGCACCATGTTGTCTTGGCTGCTCAGGGTTCGCTGATCGGCTCAACAAAATGGTTTTTTGGACCCAAACCCTCCACCCTAGACGCCAAGTCGCTACTGAACCCTACACCCTGAAGACCTCAAAGCCTAAAGCATATGGGGGTTTCCGAAATTAGGGGTACCTCATGGGGTCCGTATGATAAGGGAATCCTACTATTTTGGGGGACACTTTTAGGGTTCCCCAATTCTTGCAAACCCCCCATATTTTTACTCCCTGGGCTTGAAGAAGTCGAGGTTTGTGAAGGACTTCGGTCCTTCGGGGGTTTGTGCTTGGGCTCTCGATTCTACATTGCTTGCCGGTTCTTAGTAGGGAATTGGAGACTTGCTGGTTCTTAGAAGGTCTTAGGGTGTTCTTGGTGTGTAGGTAGTTTATGGTTTGAGGTCCCCGGGAGCAGAGTTTTCCGAACTGGCCACATGAGAAAAAAACATGTCCTGGTCTTTGTACGAACCCTCGGGGCTGTAGGGCGCAGGGTTTAGGCCCCGACCCACATGTTTTGCGGCTGTAGAGTTGTAAGGATCTATAGTTTAGGGTTCACCCTGTATATATGCACACACATGCACTTGCGATTCACTCCTAGGGTTGGATGATTTTGCCTTTAAGCCCTAAAACCTAGACCCCCTATAAGCTCTCTACAAACCTTATAAGAACCCCCTATAAACCCTCCCTAAAACACCCCTTTAAGCCCTAAAACCCTATAGGAAAGATAAGAGGGCTAGACATGCATGCCAGAAGCTTGGAAGAAGCCTCCCCCTCGCCAGATGGCCCCACGGGTGCTTGGGCGCCTTTCTTCTGGCCGAGCTCTCCGTGCATGCGCCGCCCTGCTCCAGGGATGTAGGGTGTGGGGTTTGGGGTTTAGGGTTTAGGGTTCCAGTTATACGTCTTTCGCACACAAGGGTCCAGGGTTTAGAGTTGAGGTATTTGAGGCTTTCAACCCTGGGATTCAGGGTTAAGCTCCCATGCCCAGCTCAGCTGTGAATGGCTTGTTTGCGGCCCGAAGCCCAAACCCTAAACCCTGAACCCTAAACCCTAAGCCCGATGCGGAGCTGCAGTTTGTATTGTGAAAAAGGGTTGGTGTTGAAGGATGAAGGGTCAATGTACCTGGTAACCTTTGTGGCTCAAGAATGGCCACTAACAACGGCTGTTCAAAGCGAAAAGTAGTGCCCTGGGGTTTGGAGTTGGGGTTGGTGTCTGGTTACTTTGGTAAGGATATCCCCCTCTCTCCTTCGGGTGCTCTTGTTTGGATCTGTGTTGTGTTCTTCGGTTCAGGGAGTTCATTTAGGCAACCAAGGGTTGAGATTCTTTCCTTTCCCCTTTCGGTTGCCCCCGTAGGTTATGAGCCCAAATTAGGTTCCCTGCGGTTTGTGTTTCGGCTTTAGGGTGGTAGTTTGAAGCAATGGCTACCAACTGGTTACAGACTGGTGAGGCATCATCGAGCTCCAATGTGGGCGATCAAGGTGAAGGTGGTGTCAAAAGGTCTGCAACGGGTCAAAAAGTGGTTCCCAATGTGGAAGCTCTGGTTGATGCTGGTGGTGTGCGTGGCGAAGAGAAGCCGGTGGTGGAAGGACTGGAAGAACAGATGGAAGTAGTTTTGCTGCGCCTTCTGAGCAAACATGGGCTTTGTCTTCGAGCTGCGGGACCTACTGAATCAACGGGAGCGCCAAAAACAAGCTCCTCTACGTCAAAGATGGTGGAGCAAGAGTGCCAGACAGAGCTGGTTGGGGATGTTATCCCTGTTTCCAAGCGAGCTCGCAATAAAGTGAGCTTCGCGACTGAAAGTGGTGATCTGTTGACAGGTGAAGCGGAAGAAACTGCGCCTGTTGCTGCGACAAAAAGCAGTATCCTCTTCACTGGGGACGCAGAAGGAGTTGTTCCTGTTGCTATGGTGATGAGTGAAGGAGAAATCCTGGAGTTGGAAGCAGCGAGAATACAGCAGGAGTCAGAGGAAGACTTATACGCTGCTGGTGGAGGCAAATTGTCTCGAGCTGCTGGCCTTCCAATCATCGACTGTGATGGGAAGACGTGGGAACGCCATTTTCACGAGGATGGAAGAGAATATCTTTACTGCTTAGACACTGGAGATACCCAATGGGTGTTGCCTAAGAAGACTGGAATGGCTGGAAACAGTAAAGTGTCTGGTGTTGGAATGGGCATTGTCCCTGTGGAAGAAGAGCCAGCACTGGGTACTACCTCGTCCTCGTCGCCTACTGAGTCTTTCAGGGCACAACAGGGTAGCTTGGAAAGTGTAAAGAGCGGTGTAAATAGTGTAGGTGAAAAGGACTTTTCCTCTACTATCAGGGATAGCGGTTTTAGGGCTGGTGGTGCCGCCCAGACCTCGGGTTCTCCTGATGAGGAAGGAATTTCTGGAATCCGAGCAGACATCGCTGGAGAACATCTGGATCGGGAAGAAATGGAAGCGCTTTCTGAGGGTGTGGCAGCGGTGGAATCGGTGGGTCCAGAGGAAAAAATGCCCAATGCGGAGATTGGAACTGTGTCGGCTGCAGAAGAGCGAGTGGTGGATGTGGTACCTGTCGTTCAGGAAGGTGGTCCTGGAGATTTGGATGACGGAGGGAAAAAGTTGTGCGTTACGACTGAGGAGGTCTCTTCGTTTGGTGCCAAGAATCTTGCCATTCAAGGGAAAAAAGAAGCTTCTGGAATAGCTGGAGACACGGTTGATCTGAAAGATGAGGCCTGGAGCGCCAATGATGCGCGGGTCAATGTGCCAGATAGTACCTGGAGTGCGGAGGAAGCACGGGTTGAGGCGCATATGGTGTCACGTTCCGCGGACGACTGCAACAATGGGGCGCAGGTCTCCGTAGCAGCTGACGACGGAGGTTCACAGGTGGACACACTGGTGCAACCTGAAGTTAGCAGCGAGGAACGAAATAGCAAAGGCTACACCGGAGCCAATGAGGCAGCTGTGGTCAATGATGGTGGCGATTCTCTTTTGGAAACCATGGAGCCAAAGGAGCCTGCGGTGGAAGAAAATGTCCCTGCCGCGGATGAGCAATCCAATAGCCCTGCAGTGGAAGAAAATTTGCCTGCTGCAGAAGGTTTGACAAAAGACTCCAATGATGGGTCCACTCCTACAAAGGGGGAAGTATTGCCGTCTGAAAGCTTGCCGGAAGTCGACACCGAGCGAACTGTAACAGATGAGGCAAAGCCATTGGCTGGAAAAAAGGAAGGTCCTGAACCCCTTGAGCACAAGGTGGATGATCTTGTGGGACTCGTGCAGGAGCAGGACAAGCAGCTTGACCCAAAGGTGGAAACAAGGGATGTTCCAGGAGCCGATGATACAGAGATGGTTTCTGAAGAGCAGGCAAAGAAAGTGCCCAATGGGGCAGCCTTGGTGACACCTGGGGAGCATTGTTATCAAGCCGGAGATAGGATCACTGCTCTGGTGCGTTGCATCAATGGGCATGGAGCCTTTTTGGAACACGGTGATCTGAATGTGCTGATTCCTGAAGAAGGGACAAATACACCTTCTTTCAAAATTGGTGACACTGTCTGCACGACAGTGAAGAGGGTGGATGATGATGGCACTGTGATTCTAGATTCCTGCCTAGTTTTTGAAGAGGACGATGAGGACTCTTCTCCAGCGCAGCGCAAATGGAAAGACGGCGGCTGGGATGCGTGGTGGGGAAATTCATGGTGTGATGGTCAATGGTACCAAGATTCCAACGGTCAATGGGACTGGAAATGGGAAGAAGAGCAATCCGATGAATGGTTTGCTGATCAGGAGTTATCCTCAGAAGAACAAGAGGAAAGGCAACTCTATGGAGCAAAGATCTATAGAGCTCTTCTGGAGGATGGAAAGGCTGATAAGGCCTATGTGGTGGGATGCTGCTGAGTCGTACAATGGATGAGATACTGGAGTGTGTTGCAGACCATGCATTCCTGGATGCGGAAGCTCGGCGTGCATATGGCATCTTGCAAAGTGATGGTTGGAAGCCCGATGGTACAGAAGGCGCAGGCTTGGGAAAGACAACCACCTTTTCCCGAAAGCAGTACCACAACGCGCTCTACGAACTGGCATGTAAGAAAAGGAGATTTAGTCGACCAGTTGTGGGTGAAGCGGTGGCAACGTTGCTGAGTCAAGGCAAAGATGAACTTTGGAATGCGCTTTGGCTGGATACCAAGCGGTTTTCGCAGGAGCTTGATGGTGCAGTTGAATCCATGAGTAAGAGAGAAAACAAGCCAATGGAAGCCTACATGGATCCCGATCAGTATAAGAAAGCTCACCTGACGCCAAAAACTGTGTCGCCAGGGTACAGCAAGCTGTGCAAGTTTTTCAATCAGGGAAGGTGTCGCAATGGAGATGAGTGTTCCTATGAACGTCGTCGTTATGGTGAAGGTTGGCCAGGAGGAGGACCAACTGAGCCAAAGAACAGCCAAAAAGCTGGAGACGAGGATGGGGACATTGGTGACCCTCCTACGGAAGAAGGCACAGTGGATGAGGCACAGCAGGAGCGGGAGGATTCAGCTTTCAGAGCCAAGTACAACTTTGGTAAAGGTGCATCAAAGGGTGAGTCGGTGTCAGTCGAGCCAAAGAGGCAAATATTACAACCAAGGAGGTTGTAAATATGGAAATTCTTGCAGATATTCGCACGATGAAAAAGCGGTTTTGGAAGGGACTTGGGAACCCGGCAGATCCTGGGACAATGCTTCTCGGAGGGCCATAAGGGAAGCAGGGTTCCATCATTGCTGCTTCGACTACTACCTCAAAGGGAGATGTCGCGTGCGATATGGTTGCAAGTATTCCCACGACGAAATGTCTGAAGAGCGACTGGCCCAATTGAAGCATCTGGTGAATGTGGCGAACCATGTTTCGTTTCAAAGAGGAAGAGGATTGGAGATTTCCGACAGGAACACCTTTCAACCACCAGTAAGTGGGGGAGCGGAATCTTCATCATCTTCGGCACCACAGGCGTTGCAAATGACCAATGTGTCAAAGAAAACAGGTGAGGGTGATGCACTGGATGGAGCAGATGGAGATGTACAAAAGGATTCGGTGGCAGAGTCTACCACGGTACGTCTTCAGAATCCTGAAGAGCCAATAGAACATTGGATGGCTCGCAACAAACACTTGTGGGTGTATACACTTCACGTAAGTGACGTTATGGTCAAGCTTGGTGTAGCCAATGTCAGAGAGCTACAAGAGTATATCTTTGTGGAGGATTTGGTGGAAAAAGGAGTTAACAAGGTGACGGCCTGCAAAATTCTGCAATTGGTGGGTGGTGTTCAGTACCGGCCAATGTCGCCGGATGTGGCTGTTTCTACCAACGCATCGGTACGCATGGAGCAATCTTCTGGAAGCCGTGAAGCTGGAAGAGGTGGGGTGAGAACTATTTCTCAGGTGCGTGAAGCTGAAGGTCCTGGTACAAAGGAGATGCCGCGAGGGTCTTATCGAGAGATTTTCGACACCGGCAAGTACCGTGACGCTTGGACGCTTGCGCAGAGATCCCCGCTGTGCGTGCAGAGGTTGCGATTGGTGGGAGTTGGAATGCCACCGGTGAACCCGCCAACAAAGGCGTATCGGTCAAGATCAAACCCTGTGAAAAGGGCAAGGCCCTTGCTGGATAAAAAACAGGTGCGACAGGTGCCACGCTCTCGCTCACAACGGCGTGTGCAGCCGGCGGAAGTGGTGGAAAAGCCAAAGCCGCTGGAACCAGTAAAGCCCCATGGTACTTTGTCGTACCCATTCAGCAGAGCATGGGCAGATTTGGTGGATGATGATGATCAGACGGGAGCTTTGGTCTCCTATGCAGATTCCTCAGGTGATTCAAGCGAGGAAGAAACCAACAGCGCGCGACACCTGAGGGAAATCTTTTTGCGAGAAAGGGATTCACAAAGAACTGCGACGCGTGGCAATGTTCCACTTGCTGGTTCTTCAAGCTCCAATGATGGGCAGAAAAAATCGGGTCACCTTGGCGAAGGGCGCGACAAAGCGTCGTGGGGGGAGACCCGCCAAGAAGTGACTTCTCAAGTTTTTTCGCTACCACAACCTTCTCGTCGAACTGAGCAGTCTCAAAAAAGAGCAAGGGATGGCTCAGTTATAGTTGGTTCGCTGGCGGTGGGCTCCACGGATGAGGTTTTACCTGGGCAAGGTGTTGCTGGACAGGTGAATGTATCTGAAAGCGCTCAAGTTCTTCCTGGGCAAGAAGTGGCTGGACAGGAGACGGCGCTGGAAGGAGCGGTGCAAATTCCTGGCGAGGAGACCGACCAAAAAGAAGGAGAAGGTGGGAGCAATGAACTCCGTGGTGATGGTGCGAAGATATTGGATGTTCGTCCGGTGAAGAAGGACCCTCAGCAATTGCTTACTAAAGGCCTTCTGAGTCGGATTTATTGGAAGGTTGCTGTCGGCAAGTTGCCTGTGGGGCAAAGGGACTGTCAGAAGGGGTCCAATAAAATGGATCGAAATTTGGTTATTAGCATGTCATCCGAAGGTGCAAGCGAACAGGATTTGAACCTGGCACTGGTGGACGATGCTGATCAGTCAATGGATGATGGTACATTGGTGGTTATGGTGTATGACCCACGAACGCTGATTCAGTCGCCAACAACTGATTGGGTTATGCGTCGCGGTTTGACCGATCGTACCATCTGGCCGGCAATAGCGACTGCAGCACAGAAGATATGTGCTGAAATGGTTCAAGTGGATGAACTGAATGCCCAGCTGGAGACTGGGACACTCCTTTTTCAAAGGAGAGATCAAGGACATTATGGTGATTTGCATCATTCGTTCCATGAAAATCCGTGCTTGCCAGCGGTGGGAAATTATCCTCTTTCGGTGATGGGAGCGTTGCTATCTCCTGGTCTGGAAGGGGAATTCAGAAATACTGAAAAGTTTGGAACTGCTATGGAGGCATTGCCTACGATTGGAGTCGCAGTTCAGGCATGGAAGTTCACGTTGAACTTATGGCGAGGGTAGCCAAATTGGTTGCTCCATTCCTTACCCTAGGAGGCCAAGGGTCAGTGGTGAATTCAGAATTTCTCTGGCAGCGCGGGAGGGATCAAATGATGGAGTTCCTTCAGGCGGCGACATGTGCTGATCAATTGGAGGTTCTCTGGAATAGGATGGACGACGATGCTGACGAGGAAGTGGATCCTTCAGGGATGGTGCTGGAGATTCTCGGACAGAAAGATGCGGTACTTGATCAAGGGATCAATGAATCCCCTATTCCCATTGAAGATGCTGGAGGTGAGACAATTGGTGACACTGGAAGGGATGGCAAAGCGCCAGAAGTTTCTCCAGAAGAGGGACATCCAGTGGGTCATCAAGATTGGCTGGCACAAGGATGTTCTTGTGGTCGGTGTATTCTCGTGTCGCTTCCAACTGGGATTTCTCTACGCAGGACCGCACTATACTGGTAGGATCTTTGACAGCACGAAGGGGTATCCTGGTGAAGGACCGGACAATGGTGACGATTTTTCCTCTAAGAGGAACTTACCCTGGATCTCTGAAGATTACCTCGACGAAGTGGTGTCAAAAAAGATGGAAAGGTCTTCAGATATGGGTGGGTTGGATGGGTTTGTTCCGGAAAGTGAGGGACAGTCGGAAAAGGTAGAGGTGGAGAATGTTACTGCCTCTAGAATTCTTATGGCTCTTTGGAAAAAGGGATATAGAGCTGGGTATAGGAGTTTGTGTCGTTCGAATGTATCTGGATGCAAGGTTGGAGCAATGAAACATCCAATCAAAAGGGTGCAGAAGATCGGCACTAGAAAGGCCTTCATGAAAATGTTCAATGCTTTTGGATCGTCTCAGCATGGCTCAGGAGCTGGTGGAAAACCAATCATGAAGGTGGTAGGACCAAGGCCAGGTTTTCCAGCTGTACTCAAAGCATCAAATACTGATAGCACCTTGGGTGAAGGGAGCAGTTCTCAGGTACATGGCAATGTTCATGTAGAGCAGAATCGCCCTATGGACCGGTACGAGGCGGAGCGTTTGGAGAAGAGGAAGAAAGGCTTCTGCTATTGGTTCAGCAGGGGAAAAGATCGCTGCAAATTTGGTGAAAATTGCAAATTCATCCATTCAGAAGATGATGTGGTGCTACAATCGTATTGGTGCAAGTACTATGTGGCTGGGAGACACTGCTTCTCTGGAGAGAACTGTAAGTTCTCACACAATGCAACTGGTGTAAGGTGTATCCAGTTTGCTCAGTCTGGGAAGTGCCGTTATGGGGACAAGTGTGTCTTTGAGCATGGTGATCCGCTGGATGAACAGAGGCCAAGGTCTCCAAGGACGCCCCCAAGGGATGGTCCAAGGAGAAGTTCTGGTACAAGAGGTGGAGGAAAGGAGATCTCTCCTGAACGGTTTGATGAAGAAGAGGAGGATTTCATGGTTTATGACGATGATACCAAAATGGTAGAACTGCTGATGGAGGCGATTTCATTTATGTCCAATGGCAAGTCAGATTTGGCTCGCGCAGAGGCGGACCCAGTGTTTAAACTCCTGAAGTTCAATGGAGACGCTGAACAGATGGATACAGAATGGTGTTCATGGACCACTGGTATGCTGTCCTTGCTGGAACTTCATGAAATAGTGAAGTCGTATGAGGTTTCGCTGGCGGACGTGGAAGAATGGGTCAATGACCTGAGGATATGGTTCGAGCGAGCCAATATAGAAGAAGAGAGAGATCCCAAAAGGGGCAAAAAAAGGTCCCTAGAAAGGGAGTCCAGCAAGGATACTCCTGCCGAAAAGGAGGTGGTTGGAACTTCGGAGACGGATGTTGCCGTTGAGGAAGAGGTGAAAAATGCCAAAAAGAAGAGGAAAACTGCGGCTAGCGAGGATCCTTATACTCTTATGGTTCCAAAGCCGAAGAAGATGCCGGCGAACATTGAGAAGGGTGGATCATCGTCCAACGCGGTGGTTTCTGCAGGGGAAAAGACCTCTTCGAGAATGCGCACAAAGTCAAGCGTCGTGGGAAAGACGAAGAAGAAGGAGAAAAGTCAAAGCCCCAAGAAGGAAGAGGTGGTAGTGGTGAAAGGTCCTGAGGAAAAGGATCGTTCCTCTGATGTGGATGCGCAAGCGTCTACTACTGTGGATGCAGAGCTGGGTCAATCTTGCCAAGCAATTGAGGACGCGAAGAGAGAAGGATTGGTATCCTCAATTCAAAGGTGCGTGCAGGATCCTGTTCTTACAGTGTCGGACCTGGAGTATGTTTTGCTGCGACTTCACCTAAGCATGGATGCCCACCGGAAGAAGAAGAAGGGATGACTGGAGGGTGTTGATGAGGGAATGGTTTTTTCTCTTTCTGAAGACAGGTGCGCTGGAACAGCCAATGTGCTGAAAGTATGGTGGTTGCTATTAAGGGTATGGAAATCCCTGATAGTAGAAGTCAGTAGCCTTTTGCGTAGCGAAGACCACGGTTCGTGGTGAAGAAGACTGAAGAGTCTTCAATGACAAGAGAATCATGGTGAAAAAAGATTCTCTGTGGTAAAAGGTGTTTAGCCAATGTGCTATAAATTCTTCCTGGATGACGTAAAACCATAATATGCATTCCAAGCA